TTTGTCAGCACTCGTTCACCGGTGCTCATCACCGCCTTTTTTATCAGAATGCGTGTACGACACAGCACCGCGCACTGCTGCTAACAACAACAATCTGCTTTACTCAAAACTGCGCTTCTATTTAGCACGTTGCAGTTTTTTCCGTTTTATCTTTTGCTCATGTTTTTATCTTTATTGCAAAAATCAGCACTGCCTCATTCACATTTCTACTAAACTGCACACATTGCTCAGTGACGGTTTTTGCAAAAATTATTCTAAACGTTGTGTTTTACCATTCTAGTTTGTCGCTTTCTTTGTCAATTTTTATTTTTAAACTGATTGTTTTCTAGTGTTTGTTACTGTTTCAAAATGTATTGTTTGTGTTTTAAAACTCTTTAAAGTGAAATAACTTATCATTTTGCTAAATGAATCAAAATGTTGTTGTTTTTATTGCAAATCAATCAGTGTAATTAATTTTTGCATAAACTTTATCTTACAATAACAAACACTAAATTTGAGTGATTAACAATCTATTGATAAAGTTTGCAGTATACTGTTTGCCAACTATAACAACTTTTTATTGTTTACATTAAACATATCAAATTGACGACACCTATTCTACCTTAACAATACTTTTCAAATTTATAAACTGAACAAAAACACAATTTTCAGAACTAAAAACATTTGAGTACATTTGTCAGCATTTTTATTTGGTGAAAACGCATGCTGACATCGATTTTTTTCTAACTTTTTATATGCTTTTTTAAACGCCTTGGCAACGGTGGCCTACGATAACAACAATACAACAAAAATTAGAAATTAGTTAAAATTCAATTTTGTTTTAAGGTAATATTATCTTATGTGAAGTTTAAATTACCTAATTTTTAATGTTGTTCTGTTTTTAATAGATTGTTTGACTATTTTTCAACGTTTTATGAAAACATCTGCTACAACATTTTGTTTTTAAACTGTTTCACAAAAAAACTGTTTAATAATGCCGTCATCTAAAAGTTCCAGTAAATCTCGTTCAGCAACGCCAGAAGAGCAGTGGAGCCATGACTTTACCAGTTCTTACTACAACAGCAACAAATCAAAGCATTTGCCACCTAAAAGACTTAACTACCACAATGACAATGATTTAAATCGCAAAAAGTTCAATCACAAGCGAGACCTTTACATGCGCAAGTACGGTGACAACTTTGATGAGAGCAAACTTCCCTATTACCTTCGCACCTTTGAAGCATACATTAAAGGTCGGGAGGATTATTTGCGCAACAATTACAGTCAACAGCAACAACATCAACATGCCAACAACAACAACAACAACTACCGAAAGGACTTTTGGAAACTACGCCGGAACTCCTATTCACAGCAGGTATTAAAAATTAAAAGTCAGCATTTTTAATGGCTTCAATTTGGCACTAACTGGTGGTTGTTTGTTTGTTTGCTTTCCAGAAAATGGGCACCGGCAAAAACGACGATGAACAAGTGCCGCCTAACCGCCCTCTTATTACACTGCCTCGTCGTGTAGGCCTCTACACTCGCAACTACGCTAATCAGCAGAAGGCGAACCGCGCCCGTGATCATCAAGAGTTAAGCCCTAGCAGATCTCGCAGTCGGTCTCCCTCTTCGGCACGTGGTCGTCACTCTGAATCACGATCTCGTTCTCGCTCTCGTACGCCTCATCCTCCTCCCCCTCGCCTCAGCAAGTCACCCTCACAGTCACCCCCACCGCCTGACGACCATGACCATCACCATCACCACTCCCACCACCACCATCGTCATCACTCCCGAGACTTGTCCAATTTCTCCCGGTCGCCCTCTTCTTCAACAAAGAGCTCCCAGAAACTGTCTCTGACGCCGAACCCGGTGTCGAGCCGTTACCGAGCCCAGCCGCCGACCGGGCTACGCTCCCCAAGTCGCTCCTGGTCCCGTTCTCCTCCGCCACATCGCCCTCTGCAGAAGATATCCTTTCGCAAGCGTCGATACAGCGGCGACTCGCAACAATCAAACGATGATGATGGCGACAATGAAGGTGGCTCGGTCAAAAGCGACAACACTGCTAGCAACAATAAGGACAACAACAATGGCGGCCAGCGAAGCCCTTCCAAATCGCCGTTTCCACCAGCGAAGACGCTCAAATCAACGGTGGTACTCAGCTCCACTTTGGAGCGTTACTCACCGTACAACTGTCGGCGCAGCAAGCAGCAAACTTCGGAAACTGGCTTTTCATCAACTAATCAGGTACGACTGTCTCGCGGCCCTTCAGGCTCAGGCGGTTCAAGCTTCCGCTCTCAGACTGATGACCACCACCGAGCACAGCCTTTGCACAGCAGCCCTAGCTCTCCACCACGCAGTTATCGTTCCTCGCACGAGCGCACTTATGAGCATGAAAAGGAGGCAACGCTGACGCCACCGATTGCTAAAACTAAGCCAAACTATTCACTGTCCCTTATGCACAGTAGTAGCCGCGGCAAGCCTGAGACACAACAGCCTGCATCGCGGTTTACTGCCAATGGCAGTGCTTTAGACACTTCCAAAGGTTTGCACAAATCAACTTCACTGCAACAGCCGAACCAAAGCAAAGTTCTTTTAAATACGTCGATCATTCAGCGAACCATCACCATAGCTAAATCATCAGAAATTTCCAGTAGCTCAACAGCTGCCCTGCAAGTAACTTCTAAAGATTCCGACACCGAGTTTAGCAACTCACCAAGCCCTGACTTGCATCAAGCCAGTTTGAATAGCAGTTTTAGCGATCACACTGAAGGCGCTGCCCCCGTCTTGCCCGGTGCCGTGCCTTTAGATGAGAACGGCCATGACGAAGATGCCGCCAGTGGTGGTGGCTCACTGGTGGCCGACTTTCACAGTCACTCCAGTCGACCGTACTTTGTGAAGGGGGAGAACATCATCTTCTTCACGCCCTGCCTGGAGACATTCTACGAGAACATCACCACCGCCATGAAGGGCCTGAAGTACCCGCCGGCCTTCTTCGAGACCATCACCAGCTTCTCGGAGGAGCGTCGGCAGGCGCTGACGCGCATTCTCGAGGCGACGGTGGTGCTGGCGATGGGGCAGAGCCTTGCCCTCGCCTACAACAACACCGCTCCCAGCAAGGTGGAATTTGCCGAGCTGACCATCGCCGAGTTGCCCGTCCTGCGAGCCCTGCGACTGATCGCCTCGCAGTACGGCAGCGTCAAGTGCCAGCAGACGGGCAGCTACCTCCGCCCGATTGACCACACCGGCGACGTCCGCGCGGTCGTTCGCATGGCTGCCTCGCTGCTGCCCGAAGCCGTTGAGGTGGACAAGAGTGACGGCAAGCAGAAGAAGCAGCTGGTGGTGCTCTGTGATGCAGAGGGCCGCAATGTGGCCACCCGCAGCTGGCTGCCCACCTACGCCAATGATAAGCGGTTCTTCTGGATCTTTGCCCTTAAGGTGAAGGAGTTTATGAAAGGCAAATTGGGCATTTTTTCAGCGCCTGCTGACCTGGTCGACGCCCTTTCGTCGCTGAAGAAGGAAACGCCTCGGTGGTGGACCATTTTTCGCGACCAGCTGCCACGCGAAGCTAATGGTCGTTTTGACTTTCTCTGGCAAAATTGGAATGAAGAGACGTTTTATCAAAATCTAGGGGCACATCCAGCAGCTCCAATTGCGCTTAACGCCATTGGTTTAAAGTGGCCAGAGCCTAGTCAAAGTCATCTTTGCTTTGACATTTCTCTAAAAAATGAAATAATTCGAGTGTATAAGTACAGTTTTGATAACCTCAAACTTTATGCTGCAAATTTTAACTTAATGACTTGTGTGGAACTGAATTCTGATCATCAAGGTTCTTGGAATCAATTGGCGTCTGTAATTAACTTTATGGGATGGAACGTTTTTAAAAATTGCCGTGAAACAAACAAAGCATCACAAAACTTAGCTCTCCGTTTTCCGCCAAAAATTTTTAACGACATAAATAATAATTAAAATCAAAATTAATAATATAAAGTTGGTGAACTTTAAATACGTTTTGTTAAAACTTAAAATAATTTTATATTTGGTTTATATTATTTTGGTGTTTATTACTTTTTACATTTTTTACAAATCGACAACAAAATTATATATATTTTATATTTTAAATGCACATTTATTATATTTTTAGATTATTTTGCATGATTAATTAAACATTTTTAAAACAAAAAAATATTTATTATATAATAATTATAAAAATTTTATTTTTAGCAACGTCAACATTATAAACAAAACAATTTTTTTAAAACTACTAAAAATTGTTGTTTTGCAAAGTAAGTAAATGATTAATAAATTTTAAAAATTTTCTTTTTAGTTTTGCAAAAATTAAACATGCCAATTAAAAAATAAAGTTTAGTTATGTTTAAAAATTAATGTTTGGTTATTTATTTATTGACAAAAAACTTAAATATAAAAAAAATTTAAAAAAATTATATAACGTTATATGAAATCAAACAAATAATTGAATAATTTTGACTAGCAAGTTTTGATGGTAATTTATAAAAATTTAAACTTGCAATTTATTTTTATAATTTTATTGTACAAATTTTAAAACAATTTTTTATTTTTAACAGATCAAATTTAAAGAAAATTACTTTTAGCAATGTTTCTCAAAAGGTTTGTTCGGATGTTACAAAATCAACTATATCTTTAACTAAAAAACCATTAGAAAAAATATCTTTTCTTAATAATTCCATAACTTTATCTAATAATAACCAACCTGCTAACACATTTAATGTTTATTCCACACCATTCAATTCAAATTATACCAACATTAATTGTTTGTACAAATACCCAAAAGATTATCCCTTTTTAGCTAAAACGTCAACAAATAATAAAAATTAATAATTCATTTGTGCAAGTTCTAGTTTTAATTCAGTAACTTTATTACTAACAATTTAGAAGTTGTTTTATTTGCTACAAAACTCAAACGGGTTGATGTTGTTAACAAGTAATTTTCCAATTTCAACGAACAACTGACCAGTTGACAGAAACAGTGCATGTCAACAATGTTAACCGCAACAACCTTGTTGAGTGGGGTCCTTTCCACTGCGTTTTGTAACGGTGAGAGTAGTGAACAACTGAAAAACAATTGTACAAAAAATGAGTTAGAATCAAGTGATCAAGAAATGAAAGCAATAAAAATACTCACTTCAGCATTGGTTGGGTGGATGCCAATGAGCGCATCCAAATCAGCTTTGGTTGCCTTCAACTTCAGTGGAATGCCAACAAACTGCGTGACTTCACCTGCATTAGGGCCGACGTAGTGAAAACCCAGTAGACGCTCTTCTTTCGGCTAAAACAAAAAAAAAAGAAAATTAGTTTCAGCATTTTTTGCTTTTGCTTTTCCAAACCAAGCTAAACTTACATTTCCGCTTTTGGAGCGCGTCACAATGACCTTGACGTAGCAGACGTTGAGCGGCTTCCGCGGTCGGTCGTAGTAGTTGAGACGCCACTCGGTGGGCGCAAAAAACTGATGGTAGACGTCGATGTTCTCCTCGCCAAACTCCGCCGTGGCGGCCTCCTCGGTGTAGCCGCAGCAGCCGTACTCCAGTGGCGTGAAGACGGTCGTGGGCACGTTGAGGTAGTCGCACTGCACATCGGCGCCCTTCTGGTACAGCCGCCGGGCGAGGAGGACGCCCGCCTCGATGGCCACCGGCGTCAGCTGCGGTTTCCCCGCCAGAATGTCCCCCACGGCGTAGATGTTGGGCACGTTCGTCTGCTCGTTGACCACCGGAATGTAGCCGGACTTGTCCTTGACGACGCCGGCCGCCTCCAGGCCGATCTGGTCAGTGCAGGGGCTGCGGCCGATGGCGAAGAGGACGGTGTTGAACTCCTCCGTTTTCTCCTCGCCGCTGGCCACGTTGGCGTAGGTCACCGCCAGTTTGCCCGGCTTCGGCTGATCAACACCGTCCAGGCGGACTATCTTCTTTGGTACTGAGGTGTCAATGAAGCGAACCTGAGGTGGGTAAAATCAAGAAGGTAAAAGGGGAATTTACTTTAAAATTGTAAAGTTTTGTCTGCTCACTTTCTCAACGTCTTCTAGGTATGAGCGCACCAGCTCTGAGCACTGTCGATCAAAACCACGCAGGACGATGGAGCGCACCATGACGGTGACGTCATTGCCGATGCCCTTCAGAAAACCGGCGCACTCGAGGGCGACGTAGGAGGCGCCAATGACCAGCGTCTTGCCGGGATTGTACGGCAGCGAGAAGATGTCATCAGAGGTGATGGCGTTCTCCAGCGCACCTTCAACACCTTCCGGGTACTTCGGGCGCTCTCCGGTGGCAATCAAAAAGTGGTTCGAGGTCATCGTTTCCTCTTTGCCGTTTTTGTGTTTCAGCTGAAAAAAAGTGTGAAACGAACATGTTTAGAGTTTAGTGTTTGAAAAAAGAGTAAAACTTTGGTAACATCAGTCACTTACCTTAATCGTATGCGCATCGACCAGCGATCCCAAGGCGTTGACGTACTTGACCTTGTTATCGCGCAGCGCATTGCGGTAGCCAAAGTTGCTGCTTTTAATGTTATTCTGAACGTAATTGACCAGCGTAGTCCAGTCGTGTTTCATGTTACTGCTCAGCGGTTGGCCATCCTTAGTTTGCCAGCCAAAGAACTGCGCGTCCTCAATGTCCTGACCAATGAGCGAGGCGTGGTGCATTAGCTTCTTGGGAATGCAGCCGACATTGACACAAGTTCCGCCAAGACCTATTTAGATAAAAAGTTGTTTTAAGTTTAAATCAAATTACATTATTTCCTGCTTCATTACTTAGAGAATTCCTCTTTATCGTCACTTCCTTTTTAAGAAGGAAGCAACACAACAAAAATTGATTGCGCTATTATTAACAACAACAATAAAAACATGGCTTTTTAAATGCCACAAATTCTTACCCCATGTAGTTCCCTGAGGAGTGGGAGCGACAAAATCTAGCAAAGCTACTTTCTTGCCATGAGCCGCGGCTTCCTGAAAAAAATGAGAATAAATTAGAAACATTTAAAATGCTTTTAAATAGTTTTCCAGCACAAGTCAACTGTACCTTTGAAGCGGCCAGCCCACCCGAACCGCCGCCAATTACCACCAGATCGTACTCATAGCTGTGTCCTCTGATCAACGGCATCAACGACCCCTCCTCATGTTTGGCCAACGTGTCATCGCATCCACCGATGTGCTGCCCACCGACGAAAACCTGCGGCACCGAGGTGCGGTTTACCTTGGCGGTCAGCTGCTCGTAGATGGCCATGCCGTTGCTTTCCGGGTCGATGACTACCTCGCGGTACGCCACATTGTGCTCGTCGAGGAAGGCCTTCGCCTTGGTGCAGTACTTGCACGGGTCCATTGTGAAGATGACCACGTGAGAGGAGGCAATCAGCTCGTCCACGTTCTCAGTCGCCGGCAAAGTGGTGATGGGCGGCATTGTGCTGGGGGATGAAGTGCTGTGAAGACTGCTATTATGCTTTGAAGATGCTGAAATGATGTTAAAGATCAAATTAGTTCAAATTCATTATTGAAAAAGTGTAGAACAAGCAAATACACAAACTAGCATCAACTATCGTTTGAATTGTTCATTTTGTAGCTTCTAATGCTTTTGCTAAGAGTAAAATACTATTACTAAGACTAAAGCAAAACTACTTTCTAATGTTTAGAACACTTTTTATAAACACTAAAACCCTGTTAAGTGCAACACTTACAGTTGGTACCCCGAGAAAGCAATCGGCGCTCGTGAGTACTTTTGCCAAGTATTGAAATACTGAAAAGAGTGTCAGTGTGCAAGTGGGCAACTGTTGGTGTTGACCAGGCGCAGGAAGAGTAGGTTAAAGAGAAAGAAGATGACAACTTGTTTGTTGAAAACGCTGCTGCTGTTGAGGATGATCTCAAAGTGGAAGATAGACGTCTGACAGCACTCAAAGTGGACAGTGGTCGTGAAATGATGCACTGCAACATAGACGATGGCTGCTTAGTGGCACTGAAAGTAGTGTGATAACGCGGTAAGAAGAGCAACAAAAAGAGGTTAATTACTGGCAGTTAAAATTGCAAATGCGTTAAGTGGACATCTTTATGTTTGGTTTACAAAATGTGTAATACTAACTACTAAACTGACTACAATCAAATTATACAACGCTGATTTACCAAAAATGAAATAACTTAACACTGTTTTCGATCAACAACATAGTATGAAT